AAAATTTTTATTATAATTTGACCGACATTTTGATTAAAAACTGACCTTAATGCAATGTATGCATTATAGGTATCTTTATTACTATGAACCCAGGTTATGCTGGTCGTTCCAATTTACCTGACAACTTGAAGAAACTTTTCCGTAGCATGGCTATGACAAAGCCAGATCGTGAATTAATCGCACAAGTTATGTTGTATTCTCAAGGTTTCAGAACTGCCGAAATACTTGCTTCAAAGGTTGTCCCGTTATTCAACCTTTGTGCTGAACAACTTTCTCCACAAGCACATTATGATTTTGGTCTTAGAGCTCTTAAGAGTGTACTTGTTAGTGCTGGTAACTTGAAACGTGAACGTCTTCAAGTACTTAGAGAAAGCAATTCAGACAAATCAGAATATACTAGAATTTCCGAACCTACACCTGAGCAAGAGATCTTAATTCAAAGTATTCGTGAAACTATTGTTCCAAAATTAGTAGCTGATGATATTCCTCTTTTAACCAGGTTGGTAAATAACTAGTTCTGTTAATTCGGTTAATTAACTACAAATATTAATTAAATTGTCTTTAATAGTTTGCTCGCAGATGTTTTCCCTGGCGTCGAATATGCACCAGTAGATCTTGATAAGCTTACAGCTGAAATTAGAAATGTTTGTAATGAAAAAAATCTTCTTGACGGTGAAATGTGGTTAGAAAAAGTTCTTCAACTTTATCAAATCCAACATATTCATCACGGTCTTATGATGGTTGGACCATCGGGTTCTGGTGCGTAGATTATGATACTTTAGTAGAGATGGATTAGTCCTTAAAAGACCGAATAAGGATTATTCTTTTAACGGTCTCGCGATTATTTGGTCCCCGGTCCTGAGGCCAGTTCGGATCAGTTCAATCTTTATAAATAGCTAAAAATTGCCAACTAAAATTATTTTCGTGGTTGATGCTGAAATTTTGACCTATTTTATTATGAAAATTTAAAAACTATTAAGGTAGCTTTTTATTCGTAGATATTATGAATTTAACTGAGGACCCCAAATTTCGGCATCGGCCACGACAATTATGAAAAAAATAATTTCTTATTTCGATTACTCAGTCATATGGTTCAATTCTCTTCGTTAGCAATAAGATTTAAATAGCTAGGGACTATTTTTAGTACTGAGACTGAACTGTTCTTATTAGGGACCAGACGGACTGGATCATACTGATCCATCTCTATTCTTTGGCAGTTCCTTAATTCATTATTAATTTTTTGCTTTTAGGTAAATCAATGGCATGGAAAGTATTACTTCAAGCTTTGGAGCGTGTTGAAGGCCAAGAAGGTGTTTCATACGTTATTGATCCTAAAGCCGTGTCTAAAGATGCACTTTATGGTAATTTAGACCAAACAACTCGTGAATGGACAGATGGCTTATTCACTCATATTCTGCGTAAAATTATTGACAACGTTCGTGGTGAAAAACTCAAAAGACATTGGATTATATTCGATGGAGACGTTGATCCAGAATGGGTTGAAAATTTGTACGTGTTACGTGTATTATTTTATCAAATTTTATATAATTAATTGTAACATTTCTTTATGAATCGTATAACAGAAATTCTGTATTGGACGATAATCGATTATTAACTCTTCCTAACGGTGAACGTTTAAGTCTTCCGGGTAATGTCCGTATTATGTTTGAAGTGGAAAATCTAAAATATGCCACATTGGCTACTGTCAGTCGTTGTGGTATGGTGTGGTTCTCGTCGGTATGTTATTACTAGGGATTAGGTGTATCATGGTATTTTGCATCGTATTATCAAAAGTTCTTATTTCTCATTTGGTAATTTACAGGAAGTGGTTACCCTTGACATGATTTATTATAATTATTTGAAAACTCTTAAATCCGTTCCTTTGGACGAAAACGAAGAAGAAGGATCTTCTACCCATAGAGCTGAAGGTGGAGAAGAAACTGTCTCTCCACATCTCAGTACACAATGTGCTATTGCTAATATCTTTAGTAATCATATGACTGAAAATGGATTAGTAACAAAAACTCTTAAACAAGCAGAAAAATTAGAACATATTATGGACTTTACTTACATGCGCGTGTTGAATACATTATTTTCTTTATTAAACAAAACAGTTCGTAACGTAATTGAATACAATGTACAACACCCTGATTTTCCAATGACTGCGGAACATTTAGAGAGTTATGTTACAAAACGATTAGTTCTTAGTGTTATTTGGAGTTTCTCCGGAGACGCTAAGTTAGATTACCGCGCTGAGCTGGGTGATTTTGTTCGTGGAATAACTACAGGTAAAACCTTACATGATTTTCTTTATCAGAATAGATTTCACTTTTAGCTTTATACCTTATTCTTCAATATTTTATTTTATTTTATACAGTCGATTTGCCTCCTGCACAAGTGGGTTCAACTCTTATTGATTATGATGTTCAAATCAATAATGGTGACTGGGTATCATGGACTGGCAAAGTTCCAACCATTGAAATTGAAACTCATACCGTGTCAGAAGCTGATGTGGTTGTTCCTACAGTTGATACCGTTCGTCATGAAGAAATATTATACTCCTGGCTTTCAGAACACAAGCCTCTTTTATTATGTGGACCACCTGGATCTGGAAAAACCATGACATTATTTAGTGCCCTTAGAAAACTGCCGGATATGGAGGTTGTAGGTCTTAATTTTTCTAGCGCCACCACCCCTGAGTTGATTTTAAAAACTTTTGATCAATATTGCGAATATCGTAAAACTCCAAATGGTGTCATTTTGTCACCTATTGCCATTGGTCGATGGATTGTAGTATTCTGTGATGAAATTAATCTTCCTGCAAGTGATCAATATGGCACTCAACGCGTAATTTCATTTTTAAGACAATTAATTGAATGTGGTGGTTATTGGAGAACTTCAGATAAAGCTTGGGTTAAATTAGAACGTATTCAATTCGTCGGAGCTTGTAACCCTCCAACAGATCCTGGTCGTGTACCATTAACTCACAGATACCTTCGTCATGCTCCTTTAGTGATGGTTGATTATCCTGGTGAAATTTCCCTTAATCAGATTTATGGGACATTTGCTCGTGCCATGTTAAAAGTTGTTCCTGCGCTTCGACCATATGCTGAACCGCTTACAGCTGCAATGGTTGAGTTCTATCTTATGTCCCAAAAACATTTTACCCCCGACATTCAGGCACATTATATTTATTCTCCTCGTGAACTAACTAGATGGATGCGAGGTATATTCGAGGCAATTAAACCTATGGAAACTCTTTCTCTTGAAGGTTTAGTTCGTATTTGGGCGCATGAAGCTTTACGGTTATTCCAGGACCGTCTTGTCACTGAGGAAGAGAGGAAATGGACTGATGATAATATAGATGCTACTGCTTTGAAACATTTTCCAGGATTGAACACATCTGAAGCTTTGAGTCGTCCGATTTTATTCTCTAATTGGTTATCTAAACATTATATCCCTGTTGAACGCGAAGAGTTACGTGACTACGTTAAAGCTCGTCTCAAAGTATTTTATGAAGAAGAATTAGACGTACCACTGGTTTTGTTTAATGATGTTTTGGATCACGTTCTTCGTATTGATCGTGTATTTAGACAAATGCAAGGACATTTACTTTTAATTGGTGTAAGTGGATCTGGTAAAACCACTTTATCTAGATTTGTTGCTTGGATGAATGGATTAAACGTCTTCCAAATCAAGGCACATAACAAATACACAGGCGATGATTTTGATGAAGATTTAAGAACAGTTTTAAGAAGGGCTGGCTGTAAAGGAGAAAAAATTTGTTTTATAATGGATGAGTCAAATGTGCTTGATTCAGGTTTCTTAGAGCGTATGAATACGCTTCTTGCCAATGCTGAAGTTCCTGGGTTATTTGAAGGTGATGAACATAATGCATTAATGACAAGTTGTAAAGAGGGTGCTCAGAGGGAGGGATTGATGTTAGATTCTCCCGAAGAATTATATAAATGGTTCACGCAACAAGTAATGAAAAACCTGCACGTTGTATTTACTATGAATCCCCCAGAAGGTGGACTTGCTTCTCGTGCCGCAACATCTCCTGCTCTCTTCAATCGATGTGTTTTAGATTGGTTTGGTGATTGGTCAGATCAAGCCTTTTTCCAAGTGGGTATGGAATTTACCCAAAACTTGGACTTGGATCTTCAGACTTATTCCCCTCCTTCCAAATTCCCTGTCGTGTATCGATTATTACCTTCGCCGCCTGCACATCGATTTGCCATCGTAAATGCATTTGTTTTTGTTCATCAGTCTCTTTATGATATTAATACAAAATTGAGCAAGCGTCAAGGTCGCTATAATTATGTAACTCCACGCCATTATTTAGACTTTATAAACCATTATGTACGTTTGTTCAATGAGAAACGCGAAGATCTTGAGGAACAACAACGTCATTTAAACATTGGGTTAGAGAAATTAAAAGATACTGTTAAGACAGTCGATCAACTTCAGAAAGAATTGGCTCTAAAGGATAAAGAACTTAAAGCTAAGGAAAACGAGGCTAACGATAAACTGAAAAATATGCTTGTTGAGCAAGGTGAAGTTGAAGAACGTAAAAAAGCATCTGAAGAAATGTCGCGTATACTTGCAATACAAACTCAAGAAATTGATGAACGTCGCAAGGTAGTAATGGAAGACTTGGCAAACGCTGAACCAGCTGTTGAGGACGCTAAAAGGAGTGTAAGAGGCATTACTAGACAACATCTTACTGAAGTGCGTGCAATGAACAATCCTCCTGAAGCAGTGAAAATGGCAATGACTTCAGTTTGTATTATGCTTGGCCGCAGAGCTGATAAATGGCAAGAGGTGCAGGGTATTATCCGAAGTGATGACTTTATTAATAGTATTGTTCAATATAACACAGATAGAATGACTAAAAATATGAGAGAAAAAATTAAAAATGAATTTCTTTCCAAACCTACCTATAATTTCGAACTTGTAAACAGAGCTAGCAAGGCATGTGGCCCTTTGGTTAAATGGGTAGCTGCTCAAGTCAGCTATTCAGATATTTTAGACAGAGTCGGCCCGATGCGTAAGGAAATGGAGGATTTGCAAGAAAAACAAAAGAAAACTCTACAAGAAGCTGAGGCTATGCAAATGATGATTGAAGATTTAGAAAAGAAATTAACAAAATATAAAGAGGAGTATGCCAAATTAATTGCAGATAAAGAGTCTATTAAAACTATAATGAACTCGGTTAAAAGTAAAGTAGAAAGAAGTATGACACTTCTTACTAGTTTATCATCTGAAAAGGAAAGATGGGAATCTGGTAGTCAAGCATTTGAAACACAAATGGGAACAATTGTTGGTGATGTGTTACTTTCGGCTGCATTCCTGGCCTATGGTGGATACTTTGACCAGCAATACCGTGAGATATTACTTCACAAATGGACGAACCATTTACTTGACGCCAATATTCAACTTAAGCAAGAACTTTCGTTAACAGAATATTTATCATCGGCTGATGATCGTCTTTCCTGGCAAGCAAATTCTCTTCCGGCAGATGACTTGTGCACGGAAAATGCCATCATGCTCAAGAGGTTTAATAGATATCCACTTATAATTGACCCATCTGGCCAAGCTTCCTCATTTTTGATGAATGAATTTAAAAACAAAAAAATTACTGTTACAAGTTTCTTAGATGATTCATTTATTAAGAACTTAGAAAGTGCTCTTCGGTTCGGTAATCCATTACTTATTCAAGATGTTGAACATCTTGATCCTATTTTAAATCCTGTTCTCAATAAAGAATTGCGCCGTACTGGTGGACGTGTTCTAATAAGATTAGGAGGGCAAGATATCGATTTCTCACCATCATTTACACTTTTCCTATCAACTCGTGATCCCTCCGTCAATTTTCCACCAGATGTATGCAGTAGAGTAACTTTTGTCAATTTCACTGTGACTCGTAGTAGTTTACAGAGTCAATGTCTCAATCAAGTGCTCAAGGTTGAACGACCTGATACGGATCAGAAACGAACAGATTTAGTTAAACTTCAAGGTGAATTCAAATTGAAGTTGAGACATCTCGAAAAATCTTTATTACAAGCTTTAAATGAATCTGAGGGCAATATTTTGGATGATACTAAGATTCTGGATACATTGGAGAAATTGAAACAAGAAGCTGCTGAAATTACTCGCAAAGTTGAAGAGACTGACAATATCATGCAAGAAGTTGAACGAGTTACAGCACAATACACTCCATTGGCTCATGCCTGTAGTTCTGTCTTCTTTGTTATGGAGCAAATAAACTTGTTACATCATTTCTATCAGTTCTCTCTTGAATATTTTTATGAAATATTCCAATACATCCTTCATAAAAATCCAAACCTTGATGAAGTTAAGGAGACTGATAAAAGGTTGAACATTATCACTCGTGATCTTTTTAAAGTGACTTTCAAACGAGTATCACGAGCTTTGCTGCATGAAGATTATGTTACATTCGCAATTTTGTTATCTCAAATTAAACTTCGTGGATCTCCAGATCAAGTTGATGAAGCCGAATATGATTTCTTATTAAGTGGCGGTGATATTGTACCTGGATCAAAAGTCTCTTCACGTGAACTTGGATTACCCGAAAAAATTTTTGATGTTGATCAACTTTGTAAAATAAAAGAGTTCATGACTCTTCCATGTTTCTCGAGACTTAACAGAAATATTGATGAGAATATAGATGACTGGGTGCACTTTATGAACCATGATGAAGCAGAGAAATGTATACCCGAATGCTGGGATGATTCATTACCTCGTATGTTTGAATTTTTCATTTCTTATTTTATTTTATTTATATACATACTAACCATAATAAATTCTTAACCAGAAACTGTCATACAATTACGTAAAATATTAATTATAAAATGTTTCCGCCCTGATCGACTTATTCCTGCCGTGGCTGAATTCGTATCTATCTCATTCGAGCCAGGTTTTGCCACTCAAACTGAGCTGGACTTTAAGTTATTAGTATTAAACGAAATCCAGCCTGCTACACCCATTTCATTATGTTCTGTTCCTGGTTACGATGCAAGTTATCGTGTAGATAATCTTGTATCTGAAGTTGGAGTTAAATGCACATCTGTTGCCATGGGATCACAGGAAGGTTTCACCTTGGCCGATCAAGCTATTGCAGCTTCGGTTAAGAATGGAAATTGGGTCTTATTGAAAAACGTTCACTTATCCACATCATGGCTAGGTCAACTTGAAAAGAAGTTGCATAGTATGAAAGCACATAGAAACTTCAGGCTTTTCCTCACTATGGAGACAAATCCTAAGGTATTATATTGTTTATCACTTTTTATGTCAGGATTATAAACTTTATTTAATAAATTACATATTTGTAGGTACCAGTCAATTTATTGCGCTTATCTCGTGTACTTATGTTCGAGCCCCTACCAGGTATCAAGGCAAACCTTCAAGACTCTCTTAAGAGTATCCCACAATCACGCTTCTCAAAAGGTCCAAAGGAGCGTGCCCGCCTTTATTTCATGCTTGCTTGGTTACATGCTATCGTGCAGGAACGTCTTCGTTACGCTCCTCTCGGATGGACCAAGGTTTACGAGTTTAATGATTCAGATCAAGACTTTGCAATAAACACCATTGATGCTTGGTTGAATTCAGTTGCTCAAGGCAGAGAAAATATTTCTCCGGATAAAATTCCATGGGAAGCACTTCGCACATTGATCTGTGTTGCCGGTTATGGCGGCCGTATTGATAATGAATTTGACAAGCGTCTTCTAGAGTGTTTCGTAAATGGTTTATTCGCTCCTGGTGCTTATGAGTTTGAATTCCCGCTAGTTGATTCAGAAGATTCGCACAAACTAACTATTCCTGATGGAACGAAAATGGAAGATTTTGTAAAGTGGGTTGATGATCTCCCAGAACGAGAACCACCGATATGGTTAGGATTACCAAGCAACGCAGAAAGAGTTTTAGCTAAAAGCAAGGGTATATATTGTTGTTATTTCGAAATTCCTTAACGAATTATACATATTCCTAAAATAAATATAATTCCCATATATAGGTTATGCAATGCTTGTGAAAATTAGAAAAATGAAAAATACCTCTGATGATGAAGAAGTCGAATTTTCTAAAGAGTCAGATTCTCAGACCTCTTCCCAACCAGCTTGGATGCGTGCATTACATACAACTTCTGAGGGATGGTTAGGCGTACTCCCAGAAAAAATTCCAGTGATGAACCGTACATCCGAAAGTATCAAAAATCCATTATTCAGATTTTTCGATCGTGAAAACTCTATCGGTCGTAGTCTTCTCAAGAAAATTCGTCAAGATCTTGAGGACGTCGTTAAAGTTTGTAAAGGTACACATCAGAAACTTGATTTTTCTTGCCAAAATTAAACTAAATCTCTTTATTTTTGCAAATTAGGTGAACTCAAGCAAACAAATCATTTGCGTATGTTATTGAATTGTCTCACAAAAGGTTGGTTGAGTTTTTCCATTATTCATAAATCGCTTTTTAACATTAATGATGCTCATAAAGCAATTTTAAAAATTAAGGTATTATACCGGATCACTGGCGAAAATATAAAGTCCCTAAAACGGTGTCCTTAAATCATTGGGTTGCGGATTTCAGAAGTAGACTTTAACAACTTGAAAGTATTACAAAATTACATGACTTTTTGGATTTACAAGTATGGATTGGTGGTCTATTCATGCCTGAGGCATTTATCACAGCAACACGTCAAGCAGTAGCACAAAAACATAAATGGTCATTGGAACAATTGATATTAGAAATCTCTCTTAATAAAAGTGGAGATCCTGATTCTTTCGCATTAACTGGTAATTATTAAGCAAGGGTTTATTGATTGGATACACTTGTATATGATGTATTTAAAATTACATTTTAACGCTTATACTCCTTTCGTTTCTAGGACTTAAATTAGAAGGTATATTTCAATAAAGTTTACTACGATTTCACTTCCTATACTAATATTTGTATAAATAATATACATAGGTGCTGTGTGGGATGAAAATCAAGTTAGTCTCTGCGCGAATCCAACAACCAAATTAGATACTTCTCAAATCAGATGGGTTCTAAAAGCTAAAGCTACTCCGGTTACTGAAACAACTATAAACCTTCCAGTTTATCTTAACGAAGACCGTTCTGATTTGCTCTTTATTATAAATACCGAGGCAAAGGCTTCTGATAAAGTTAAAATTGCACAACGTGCAGTATCTATTATTCTTTAAAAAAGTTTTTCTTTAATTTTTAATTTATCAAATTATTTTAAGTTGTGAACATTATCAGATAATAGTTATTCGCATTATGGATACTTGTAAATACTATTATTATTTTTTAAAATTTTTTAAATATCTTATAGTTTTTATTCGCACTAGTGATGCCATAAATACTTATTTCTACATTTGTTAAAATAGAAACTAGCTACTTTAAAGGTTTAAACAGTTTATATCTTTGAAGTTTAAATTGTAAAAATTATTAATATAAAAATTATAAAAAAATTTTAAAAAATAATAAAAAAAAAATCGAGACATTTGGTTTCGAGATAAAAATCAC